TATAAATCTGCTCCTTGCATATGCTGCATATGCATATCTTTTCTTCACTTTACTGAAACAAGAAGTTGGACAAAACCTTCTAATACCCAAACTGTGAAAATAAACTCTATTGCTCTTGCTTCCAGTAAATAGCACTATATTCCAGCTGAGCCACCGAGAGCTGGAATTTATCATGGAATTCAGTCTTATTTGGTCTGAAGCAACAGAACAGAAGTTAGCTTTAGTTATGCTAGCTCTGCAACATAGATAGCTGGATTAGGTATCTGGGCGCGTGCTGCTCCAGGAAAAAAATGTGCGTCCATCTTCTACTAAATGGGTGCAAGTCCAGAAATAAGGTAATACTGTACCAGTGTGAGAAAATGTTTTGTTTGCATCCCCACTATCTTTAGCTCTTGCAAGCAGTCTGATAACACAACTTGATTTTCAGATGATACTGAAGAAGGAAAAAAGGGACCAAAAAATTGCAGTTTTGGATGTTGCCTTGTTTTAATGCTTCTGAATCTGGATTTCAATTCAATAAGACATTTACATTTACTCATAACTGACAGCCCTTGAGGATCACAGAACTGAGTATCATTTGGCATAACTGCCCCCGAAATGGAAACTGACTTGCTGAGATTTCTTATTGATATCCTTTTTATCACTCAAGAAAAATGAAGTTTTGAATTCCTACCTATTAACCAATTGAAACCAAAGCTACAGTTCAGTAATATAGTCCAATTAGACCATAAATGCAGAAAAATAAAAGAATCACATCAAGACAGATATTAAACTTACCACATTACTAGCTGAGCCCTAACGTAAATCAACATCTGTGGAAAGTTCTCACTTTAATTTGTTCTGAAGATAATGTGGGGTTTTTTTCTTCTAAAAATTATTTTTCAGAATGACCATTCTTCCTCCAGTAGAGAAGCTGAAGATCCTACTGGAGAAAGTGAAAGACTTCCACATAAAGTTTCTTGGAAAATACGCATGAAAGTGCTGTGGCTTTTCCCTCCCATCCTCTTCCCTTGAAGGTGAATGCAGAAAATGAACAAAGATGCGCTGAGAACACGCTGTTCATCTAATTTAACTAAATTCAAAATAGATAGAACCTATCTCAGATACTGCTACAACTTATTGGACAATTAAGTTTAATGTCTGATATAGAAGACATTGTTACACCAATTTTTTGTTAAGGGGAAAGGGAGAATGCGAAGAAAGCGGTGGAAGAAAGAGTCAGTAAATGATTTTGTGCCTTGATTGGAAGCTGAACTTCTGGCTCAATAGGCTGGGGAAAGAAGCTGCTTATGAAAATTACTACTGCTGTGGTCTTTTATGAAACAGAAATGCTGAGCAATCGTTTATCAAGGAACATGTTTGCCAACTTAAAATTCTACTAAACAAAAATCCAAAGGCCTATATTTTAGGTATTATTTGGTTTTTTTTTTTTTTTTTTTTTGTTAAGTATGTAGCGTTCTCCAAATCTCATAAAACATGTAGGTACAGCATGCTTATTTAAAAAAAAAATCATTCACAGATGTGCGTGGATACCTTTGAACTTCTATTAAAAAAAAAAGTCTTGCCATCACAGCATAAGCTAAGTGCAATACAGAGTTTTGATCAGAGAAGGAGTGAACATGATGTCTTCTTGAACCCTATTTTTCTGAAACTGAAACATAACGAGGAACACTAACTCTTCTTATTCCTATGCTTCTCAAAACAGATTCTGCCAGTATAAGATGAGAGCAGTGAACACGTCCTCTCATAACAACTCCATTTGGCAAATAACAAAGCCAGTGAGTCTCCTGTTTATTCACATCTTTTACATACATGGAACCTAATAAGCTACTAATCTCAAAGCAGATATGAGTATTGTCAATCCTTTCAAATAGGGTCAAATAAAATACTATTTCAAAATCACTTTATCAATGGAGAACATTTGTTCAGAACGACATGATTAGAAGACTTGTTGGCTGGCTTAAATACAACTAGAACTGGCAAGGACTAACAAAGGTTATCAGAAGAAATGCTTGGGGTGGAGTCTAATGAAGGAAAAAATGTATTTAAAAGGAAAATGTCTTGCACGTAGCATAAAGATGACAATAATACACCTCACTTAAATTTTCCACAGTCATATTGCTGGCTGGCTGGTCTGAGAACTCAACTGAACCAGTTTCCTATCTAAGAATACAGCTGTGTTACTCTACTATCTATGTTAGTTTCCCTGCATAGAGGAAAAAAAGTTTGTGTCTCTATCTAGAGTTGGAAGTTGGATACCTTCTGCTAGGACAGATAAAGGACTGAAGGAACACAGCTTCCAGTATTCAGCCATGAAAGCGTTAACATTTGTCAGGCTTAGGCTCAGCCTTTTACCAAGTCTATTCATTAACAGTATGTCATTTAATCTATTCACTAATTTTAAATTATTATTTAGAAGTAAACTCATTAAAGTTACTAGCACGTTGTTAGGCTTCCTCTGTTGCTGTTTCAGCGTGCTATGCTGACCCACTTACTAAAGCCAAGGGCTAGAGAATTACCGTATGAATAAAGAATATGACAATCTATTAATATAAGAGATGTCGCCAATAATTATCCTTACGACAGCAACTACTAGCCTATGAAGTAGCATTGGCAGTAGCTGTGCTTCTCATAGGTCCTTACTGAAGTCTTTAAGGAAGAATTTAGCAGTTCTCAATCATCTGCCAGTGGACAGAGGCTCATAAATGAAAATGGCTTGCTGGTAGACAAAGTTAGGAGGCTCGGAGAAAAAAAATCTACCTTTATCTTTGGAGGACAGCAGACTGGGAAGCCTTATGTTGCTGCTATCCATGGATAAATACAACCTTTTATCTGCTAGCACTCTCCACTTGGCATCCTTAATATGCACTAATAAAACAAATTTTAAAAGCAAAAATGTAGTAAGAGGTCAGAATATTGATGTAAAAATAAGACAAACAACACTTTCCTATTCTAGGAATGGGGCCAAATCAGATCTGGCTTTGGACTCGTAATGCAATGTAGATTGAAGCTAAGATCTAACAGTGGGAATTAGAATATTTTTTTATATTTTTGTAACTACAGCTTTTTCATGGGGTAGTATTTGTAATCTAATACGTCAATAGATTTTATATTTGCCTTGCATTTGCACCTGATTCTCCTGGCAAAAATGTAAAGGTTTACAAGTTTCTAATGACACTTCACAAGTGTCAAAGGCTTTTTGTTTTAAGTCAAGACAGCAATTCTTACACTTTTAAATCAAACTATAATGGCATAAACTGAGTTTTTTCTAAACATTCTATTATGGTGCCTTTTATGTTTCTGACATTGTAAGGGATAACACTTTGTTTTTCATGCTTCACATATGGAAGGGTGGTGATTTCTATTTTCCATCCACAATATTTGTATGTACTGTGATAAAGTAAATGTGCATTTTTGTGGAACAATCCTATAAAGCTAAGAAAAGAGGCTTATTTTCAATGTCTGAAATATTTCATTAATAACAGACAATCCTGACTTTCTAATGCATGCTTCTAAGTTTGGCTTTCCTACAGGTGCTCCTTACTATGGTACTTTAGATGTATGAGACTTCCAAATAATAAAGCAGATGTTAAAAAAAAAGCAGTAATAGTTCTGCATTTCCTATGTCATTGAAACAAGGATTTCCTGGATTGCACTATGAGGCATTTAACTTCATTTTCAAACTAGTACTTACTTTAATCCATGTCTCTGACTGAACTCACACTTTCCAGATCATCTAATTTATGTATCGCTCCAATTTTTGGATGTGAAATGTGTCAAACCTGTTATCAGAAAACTATTTCTTACCAATGCAGTACCTACAGAGATGGCTGTAGGCATGTTTCATGTCCCTAATTAATCATATCTATTTCTGTAAGGAGTTGTAAACAGGAGTTAACTAAGCCACATTTACTTCTTCATAGAAAGGATCAATCAGTTGGTTAAGGCAGATCAACTGTGCCCTGAAGCGTTTGGCAAGAGGTTTGTTTGGCAAGAGGTTTGTTTGGTATTGTTGGTTGCTTCTTTTTATCAAGACTTTTTACAAGAGAGATTAAACTTACTGAGCAACACAATCTGTCTTCTTGCCGTGGCATCTCAGAATTCCTTCAGCATTTGATAACTCAAAATAAAATGAAGTTTAGGGAAAGGGAAGGAACTCCTGCTTCCTCAAATGTACATGCATATGCCAGCAACACCAAAAAAAACCAAAGTTTGGCTATTCTCTTTCTTACATCAGGTATCTGAATGTTTTCCGGGGCAGAAACTTACACTTTTTTTTTTTTAAAGCAAAGAACATGATCTGATATAAAAAGGCTATGTTATAAACTGTCAATTAGATTTTCTACAGCTTTGCATGAGTGATGTACCGGGGGGTGTGTACCAACCTGAGTGTGAACCAGCGTCCCATCTGGTTCAGCATTTTTTTAAAAAGATACAGAGAAAGCTTTTCACTTTGGAGGGCTTGCTACACAAACTGCTTAGAGCGTATGAAAACCCCGTTGTGCCCTAAACACTCTCTGACTTCCTCTCTATGCAGGCCCTTCCTCAACAAACACAGATTACATCATTTGTAGAAAACTTGACATATTCAAGCCTCTGGTGCACATTTTTTTTTATTTAGATGCGTATAAAATCATACGTTTATAGAAGGAAATCTATTTTTAAGGAGATGGCTATGAATGTTTGTATGTGTTAAATAATAAGTATATGTAGTCTTAATAATCTAACACTTCACATTATTACATTTCTATTAAACACTGTCCTTACCTGACTATAATCCAGACCAACTGTACCAATTCGCATCTGGCTGAACAGGTTTTTTACTTTTGCTAGCTTCACAACCCTGAATGCTCTGTTCACTAAAGAACTGTAAAATAACTGAATGCAGAACCACGGCTCTTAAACGGGCTCCTTTTCAATAGGAGAAGAAGGTTTTCCCGCACCAGGGCCTGGGCGCGTAGCCGCTGCCCTGCACTCGACACCCTCCCGTTACTACTCACCCCGCGGGACGAAAGCGGTGGCCACCGGCCTTCTCGCAGGGCCTCGAGGTCAGCAGCAGCTGTTTCAAAGCAGTTAACCCCGAAACACGCGA